AAATAAAAAGGTATTCGGTTCTTTCTTGAAACTTTCTGTAGTCTGGGGTATCCTTAGATGGTTGGGGAGGTTGTTCCACAGACAAGGAGCAGCAGAGCAAAAGGCCCTGTCACCCATCGTGCACAGTTTTGTCCGGGGAGGGCGGAGCTGGTAGGAATTTGTGGAGCAGAGGGATCATGTTGATGTCTGAGCAGTGAGCAGTTCTTTAAGGTAGTGTGGAGTATTGCCGTGAATGGATTGGTGGGTGAGTAAGGAAATTGTTGGTTACGTACTGTAACCCCAGATTCTATGAGTATAGGCACAGCTCTTTTTAAGGCTGTCACTATTGGGTTTATCCCTTCGCGCGCAGCACTGAAAACTTTTGTCTGCGCCCACTGGCTGTGTGTGGGCCTCACCCCCGGTCTGTATAAATTATGGTGAGACCGGGCAATCGGCTCCCAAGTATCTTTTTTCTTCAGCCATTTAGAAACCAGTGAGGCCCAGAGCTTAAAGGGCTGCGTCTATACTCAGAATCTGGGGTTACAGTACGTAACCAACGTTCTATTTCGTATAGCCTTCGCCCTTTAAGGCTGTCGCTATGGGTTAAAGGCGAAGCAGGATGTAGTCTATGCCTCACTGGGTCCATTCAGACACAAACATGAAGCACCTGCTTGCACAAAAAAAAAATATAATTCATCACTCAGCCTTCTGTGTGCGTAATTACGTGCTCCATGCGCAGGAACGCACCCAAGAAAAGATCTCTGGTAAGGAAAAAGGCTGAGATAGCAGACCTGCTGCTGTGAATAGGAACAATGGAGGTTACGAATTGTAACAGTGTAACGATGAACAGAGCAGGCCAACAGCTCCTCAGGATCAACCGTTTAATAACAATAAAATCAGCAGTCATGAACTTGTGACTGATAATAAATATCTCACACTGCGACTGCATGCAGATGTGAGCTCAAAAGCTCCATGAAACAAATAATGATCATTCTGTCAGAACCCTGAGAACAGAATGGGTCATGGAGAAAGTAGAAACATCACGTAGATAAAAACGAATAATTGAACATGGCGATGACCAGGCAGCCGCCATACAAATATCCTCCACTGTCATCCCTCCATGCAGAGCCGTGGAGGATGAAAACCCTCTGGTGGAATGCGCTGAGATTCTCTGGAGGATCCAGTCCAGATGAACTGTAAACTTCAGAAATAGCCTCACACAACTAGTGTGAGAGGCGCTGGGTAGATAGAGGACGTCCTGAAGAGCTGTCCCAGTAACATACGCTAAGAGCGGCGCAGTGTGGCCGTGTGTGCCATGTAACACGAAAGCGTGCACATGGGACAGAGGAGGTGAGATGTTGCTTCCTCCTCAGAATTACGAGGAAGAGGATAAAACCCATCCAAGGTTATCACTCTCGATCTGAATGATCTTGTGATGCTTTTCAGAGCAGGGTTAAAAGCAGTACAGCTGAACTGCCGTCAGCTTGAATTCTGAGACATGAGGGAGCAACAGAGAGAGCAAATAATCACTCACTCTCTTTGCCGACATCAGAAACTAACAGCAGGGCTGTTTTAAATGACAGAAATTTAAGTGAAGCCTGATCTAAAGGCTCAAAAGGAGCTTTGATCAGAGCGTGCAGGACCATCATTAGGTCCCACTGTGAAGCTAGTGGACGTGACACAGGTCTGTGTCTCCATACACCTTTCAGAAAAAACTCTTCATCAGCGGGTGGTTAAAAACTGTTCTGCCACCGAAAAACCCCATGACAGGAAGAAGTAGCTGCAGCATAAGTTTTAATTGTACTGAACGATAAATTTCTGTCCATCAGCTGCTACAGAAAGGACAGCATGCAACCTAGTGGCCATGAGATGGCCTCCACGCCTTTCTCTGTGCACCAGCGTTGAAAAACTGTCCACTTGGTGTGTACAGCGCTGTGGTGGAAGCAGCTTCTGCGCCCTGAATTGTAGGCACCACATCCTTTGAGAGGCCCATCTTTTCTAAACGGATCTGTTCAGCGGACAGACCCAAAAATGCTGACCTATTTCTAGGTAACTCCTGATTGCTCTTCCTGCCTGGAGGAGAGCGTCCTCCCTCCATGGCAGTTTCCACGCCTGACCCAATATCAGTCGCTGCAGATTCGGGAACCATGGAGCGCTTATGCGCTCGGGAGCTACAAGGATGACTGACAGTTCTTCCTCCCGGACGCGGTCCGTGATATCATCAGGACTGTAGGGAATGCATAAAGGAGCATTTTTGGCCACGGGCTGTGAGTAAAGGCGTCCACTCCTAACGGTGGGTCGTCTCGTGGGCTCAATGAGAACCATAATTGATAATGGCCGTTCTCCCGTGTGGCGGACAGATCCACTGCTGCTCGGCTGAACCTGCTCCAAATCCGAGAAATCCGCTCGAGATGGAGGCTCCAGTCTCTGTGGCGGTGACCGCCCCTCGACTTTATGTCCGCTCCCCTGTTCAGGACACCAGGAATGCACACTGCTCTGATGGGAGAGCAGGTTTTTGTGTGCCCAACACAGCAGCTGTCTCACGATGCGTAACAGTTGGGAAGACCTGAGGTGGCTGAGCATTCACTCGGCCACTCTTCTTCCGTCACTACGCTCTCCAAGAGGGAAGGGGCAGTGAGGTTGTTTCCAGTATCGCCTTTCTCGGATGAATCATTCGATTCACTGCACGACTCTGCGTCAAAGAAAGACGGTGGCGTCGTCCCGTGCGTAGCGTCTCGCCATGGAAAAACACTCCTCGGCACTTATC